AAAATAAATGAAAATCCAAACTAATGATTGCACAGATAAAAATTAGTTGGCCCTAATGTTACTTGGAGTCCTCATATATAATTTAATGTTATTCCAAAACCAAATAAAAACTATGTGATTTTATTAAAAAGTCCCGCAAAATCTTATTCTAATCTCACAAAAACCTGGTGAAAACCACATGTGAATATATATGAAAAATTTGTAGAAAATCTCTGAACTGTATTTAAAGCTTATCTAAAGCTATCTGAAGCATAAAAAAATCTGCATCAAAATCTCTATGAAGCTCTCAGGAAGTTGAGGGATGGGGTTTAACCAGGGATTTTCAGGGACTAGGATCTCCCATAACCTGCCCTTGATGGGTTTAAATTGTAATTTCCATTCTGGAGTTTTGTAGTTTAAAATATCGGGGGTGAGATGGGCAAGCAGAGGAAGATACATGTCCTAAATGCATGTAAAATGCTTTAGCCTTGTTTCATGTTATATCAGTTCCATATTTATTTTTGTACCTTTCTTAAAGATTTCTTCTTTTGTTTGTAACAAATTCTACTTTGCTATATTTCATTTCATGGGATTGACTCTTTGTAATACTGTATGTCTGAGAAAACTGTACTCCTATCATTTAATTACTGTATTTAACACAATAATGTCACACTAATTTCACTTAGATATATAACTCACTATTCTATTTAACATTATGTTGATGCTTAAAACTGCAATATTTATATTGGCTTTTACAAAATTTGTTTATTTTACTATTTCACAGATTATTGCATTTTCATGGACAGTATTGACTAGTTTATTATTTCACAGAAAAAAAATTGTAGTAATCTTACACATTCCTTGTGAATGGTATTCACTCCAAAAATAAAAGTATTAAACTCCATTTTGTCCTGTTATAATTTTTTCATGCAGTTATTTGAAGTATAATAAAAATAGATATTTATTCATTTTATAAGCAATAAGGGGAGCTCTTTGTTTTCAATTGTTACTGATAAATTACCAAGTATGCAACAAGTTCACTTACCCATTTTTCAATCACTATGTCAGTCCTCATAGTTTAATTACTAGTTTTATTAACTCTTTCAGCATGCGCTCTGTCTCCAGGACCAACCTCCTAACTATTTTGTGCTCGTTATAGTTTTCATGCTATAACTTTTTAATTAGTAAGTATATGTTCATGAAATTTGGCAAATTATCGGTAAACATTCCAAGGCTTTCATATGCAAAATATCAATTTCTTAAGTCTTAAGATCTATTAAGCAGGGTTTTTCTCATGCCTTTTTTCTTTTTGTATGTTGCCTATCCAACATGCTAAGTAATTTTCATTTTAATATTAAAAAATATTTGTATGCACCAGAAAATTTTCAAATTTCACATGCAAAATCTTTATAACATCCAGATAGTTATCAACTGTTTTTTAAGAAAAAACTTTATATGTTATCTGTTATTTTCACTAATGAGTCTTTCTACGAGTTCAGTTGATTTGACCAATCTTGTAACCACTATAAAAAATTAGGAAATAATTATATAGTAAGCCTTTTCATTCAAGAATGACTACAAATTATAACACAAAAATGGGTTTAACGTAAATAGCTTAAATTTCTTGGTATTATACATTTACTAATATTTATTATTTCTATTATATTGACCTTTCAGCCATACCTGGCTAACAATACAGAAGTTGCAATGATGCAGTGCATGTACAATCACGTTACCATATCCACAAATATAAAACTGACCTTTACAAAATTATCCATCTTGGCTGCATTTTAGTCGACTAGTATTTTGTAAAATACACTTACATTTCAGTTATAATACATTATATATGTATATACATTGTTACTATTTAGAAATAAGTTCCTAAACTTTTCTTAAAACATAGAACAGTAAATAATGAAGTAAATCAAACAATTATCTCTTCTATTTAAGACCTTTGAACTCGTTTGCTGCTTCTTGCAGGTTCCTAAGCCTTATAAAATTTTGCATGTGGAGGATGTGACAGGAAATAATTTTTTTAGGTTTTATATATGCAGTTGAAATAACCAAAAATCATAAATTACTATATCAATACCATAGAATTCCACTATAATTTATCAAGCTTAGTACCTAAATTTTGAGCAGACTAAAGACTCAACTTTTGATTGGTTATTCACAAGTCATAGAATG